TGCAGGAACATGGAATGTTCAGTTTGGTGAAAAGAAGACTGAAGATGTTCAAGTACATGGAAGCATATCAAATGCCCAGCAACTATTTTGCATTGCTAAAAAAAATTCACACCAGAAATAATGTGTACAGTAGAAAATACTTGTATCTCAGACTTTAGATTTTGGCAGTAATTTGCTTTCCAAGCTTGTTTCCATTTAGTTCCCAAATATTTTGTTACCAGGCTAGGTAACATAATCAGAGGGAATCATGTTACCTAGTCTGGTAATGAAACCTTTGAAAACTAATGGAAACAAACTTGGAGAGCAAACCACTGCCAAAATAACATGTACAGGTTAGAACTGTCTACATCTTGCTTAAACACAAGGGAAAACTTTCCAGTAGTAAAATCAGTACTACAGTGGAACCAGCTAATTCTAGAGTGATGAGTTCTACAGCTCTGGAAGTTATTAAGACAGCCACCTCTCAAAGATAGTTTAACTGGTTTCCCTGCACATTGCAGAGGATTGACCTAGATCAGGGGTGTCAAATTTGCTGCCCGTGGGCCGGATACGTCACGCGCTGGCCATGCCCACCCCGGTTTAGTGAAGGAGGGAAGTCGTGATACGTCACAGGATGACAATGTGCTGTGTGTTTGACACCCCTGACCTAGATGAATTTCACAATTCTATAATTCTGTGAATGTAATGTTGGATGCAATTGAATCTTACATTACATATTGATTTATTTACTTATTTATTTACATCCATTTAGGGGAGGAGGTAGTAAATCTTGGGAAAAATTGTTGTATTAGAAAAAAGTGAAAGAAATGAGAATGTAAGTAGAAGAGTTGCAGAAATATAAAGTATAAGTCCTATATAGAAACAATATTGGAAAACATATTAATGCATAGAGGAATGAAAAATAGCTATAAGGAAATAGGGTATGGTAACTGCTTAGAAGAGAAGTAAAAAATTATCTTACCAAATGCCAAAGAAGACTGCTGGGTAGATTAATGAAATAAAAGAGATCAGGAATAAGGAAAAACAAAAAAGGAAATATGTAGATGAATTTGTAGATTATTTATATTAAAAGAAAGAATGTAAGGAAGCTATTGTATAATGAATATTGAGAGGAAGCATTGTTGCAAAAAATGTAGTAAAGAAAACAAAGAACATTTAAGGATCTGGAAGAATTATTTTTTAGATTATTGTATGAATGAAAATGTTGTTTGGCAGAATTCTGATCAAAAGGGAACAAGAAGTTAAAATAAGCAAAAAATCAAGCTTAGGCAGGATGGGTGCAAACCAATTTTTATCTTCAGGAAATATTTAAGAAATGTATGAATGTGAGAGAGAAAGTTTGCTTTGTATTTGTGATTTTGAGATAATGTAAATTAGCTGCTAGGCTTGGATTAAGGGATGTTTTACTTGAGTAGGGAGTTGAAAGTTGATTGCTGAATGAGATAAGAATGGTATATCATGGAAAGTAAGCATCTGTGAGAAAATAAATAGAAAACTTAGCAAATGGTTCAACTTTAAACAAAGATTAAGCCAAGGTTGTATGAATGAGAGCAAATATTTTGTAAAGGAATATTGTATTATGTAAAATATTGGATAAATTTCCTACATTTTAATCATTTTCAAGAACCAGGATATCCTAGATTGCCGTTCAACAACATTCTCACTTTTTACTATTTTTTTATTAAAAGAAGAGCAGTTAATTTCTAGTTCTGGATGTCTCTCAAAAATACTTTTATAAAGAGCAAATCAGGAAATAGCAATATAGAAACTTGAATAATTTATGCAAAAAATCTGGCTGTTGGCATAACATCATCTGCAGTTTATGATGTAGCTGAGACTGCCATGTGTACTTGTTGGAATTTGGGAATAGGCTGACGTTATATCTTTGTTGTTTTTCAAGTTTAGAATAATTGGAAACTGCAAGGAAGAAACTGGGATGATGCAGTTTAAATTAAAACATTTATCTATTATTTATTATTATTTTTGGGATTTCTATACCGCCCTACTCCTGAAGGACTCAGGGCGGTGAACAGCCACAGAATAAAAACACATAAATACAAAAATTTAAAATAGACTAAAACGAATTAAATAATTTGGCTGAACAAATTTAAAATACCCCATAATTTAAAAACAAATTAAAATTTACATTTAAAAAGGGGAGAAGATTTAGGCCAGGCCAGGTTGATGAAATTAAAAAGTCTTAAGCGTGCGACGGAAGGTGCGCAGATCCGGGATCCTCCATATCTCCAGGGGGAGCTCGTTCCAGATCGTAGGTGCCCTCACAGAGAAGGCTCTCCCCCTAGGGGCCGCCAGTCGACATTGTTTGGCTGACGGCACCCGGAGGAGCCCCTCTCTATGGGAGCGTACTGGCCGGTGGGAGGCTATTGGTGGTAGCAGGCAGTCCCGTAGATAACCAGGTCCTAAGCCATGGAGCGCTTTAAAGGTGATAACCAACACCTTGAAGTGCACTCGGAAGACCACCGGGAGCCAGTGCATCTCGTGCAGGAGAGGTGTTACATGGGAACTCCACGTCGCTCCCATAACCACCCGCGCGGCCGCACTCTGCGCCAGTTGGAGCCTCTGAGTGCACCTCAAGGGGAGCCCCATGTAGAGAGCATTACAATAGTCCAGACGAGAGGTGACGAGGGCATGAGTGACTGTGCGTAGGGAGTCCCGATCTAGAAAGGGATGCAACTGGCGGATCAGGCGAACCTGATGAAAAATCCTCCCGGTCACGGCTGTCAAGTGCTCTTCTAAAGACAGCCGTGAATCCAGGAGAACGCCCAAGTTGTGAGCCCTTTCCGTGGGGGCCAATGATTCGCCCCCAATAGTCAGCGATGGCACCAGCTGACTATATCGGGACATTGGAAACCACAGCCACTCGGTCTTGGATGGGTTGAGCCTGAGCCTGTTTCTCCCAATTCAGATCCGTACGGCCTCCAGGCACCGGGAGGTCTCCAAGCATCATTAAATAAACATCAGCTTTTTAATGTAAAATTTAATAAGATTTTTAAGAACAATATTAGCAATGGCTAATTCTGTAAATTTCAGTCTTATTCTCCTGGGACCATAGGCAAAACCTGTCAGAGCATATAATTTACTATTTTTTAAAATAATTTATTGATTCCTCAGCATTTGCAAGAAACAGTGTGCTTGGCCTTTACATATTTTAGTTCACCCTGGTTCCCTAATTCCAGTCATAAATGATAAGCAACAACAACATAGTTTCAATGATTACATATGGTGCTCGCAGAACTGTAGGGGTATATAAATATTCCCTTATTGGAACTGATACACTCAATTTTTCTTAAATACACTTTGGGGGTGTAGTATAAATCCAAACCAATTCCAGCAGTAAGGGCAGGGATGGGTATATCCCCTATACACAATCATCTAGTAGTTGAAATTATTCAACTCCTAGGTGAAGACTTTATTTATAAAGCCGGATAAATTACTCTAGTTGTGTTTCAAAGGCACTTAATAGGTCTCCTTGTATTTGGACTCTCCAACTTTCAAATGCCATCTCACAATATGGATTCCCTGACCAATTCTCAATCCAATCAGAGAAGACTGAGAAAAATTAAAACCACAGATCTTAGATATTGCTGCCCAAAATGATATTGCATTCCTTATATGTCCTTGAAGTGGCTGGCTCAACACAAATCGCCTCCCAGATAGAAGGGTATTTAACAATTTACATGCCCCAACATTTTAGAAGAGCTTTCTCTTTGGAACAACTACAGGTAGTCCTCAATTTACGACCACAATTGAGCCCAAATTTTATATTACTAAGTGAGAAATTTGTTAAGTTAGTTTTGCCCCATTTTACGACTTCTCTTGCCACATTTGTTAAGTGAATCACTACAGTTGTTAAATTAGTAACACGGTTGTTAAGTGAATCTGGTTTTCCCATTGTCTTTGCTTGTCAGAAAGTTGAAAAAGGTGATCATGTGACCCCAGGACACAGCAACCATCGTAAATATGAACCAGTTGCCAAGCATCTGAATTTTGATCATATGACCATGGGGATGCTGCAATGAAAAATGGTCGTGTCGCTTTTTTCAATGCCATTATAACTTTGAACGGTCTCTAAGTGAACTGTTGTAAGTCGAGGACTACCTATAATTGAGTTTTAGTGCCTAATTCTGTCTTGTTTTCCCAATTAGAAGGAGGCTGTGTGCAGATGCAGAACATAGTTTCATATCTATTGCTAATTAAATTTGAACTGCATGTTTAGTGTGATGTGTGAAATAGAAACATAGATAGTCCTCACTTAGCTTTGTTTATCAACCATTTTGTACAGTGGTAATGAAAAAGTAACCAATCCTCGCATTTACCACGTTCATAGGTCTGTAAAGCAACAGAAAACTGATATTTGATTGTAAGCACAATTGTGATTTCACTTAGCGACCACTTCACTTAACCCAGTTGTTGTTTGCTACCTGCATTGATTAATGCACAAAACAATATGTTCCTCCACCCAGAACTTTAAACCAGAATCATACCATGTAAACCAGTTAGGCTGAGGATCTAAAGGCAGAGAAGAGGAGAGAGGGCAGGCACACAAAGCTCCTTTTGATTGGCAGATTGTAAACAGGAGATTTTTTTGAAGAACAATTTATCGACATGGAAATCTTTTATTATTTTTTCTATTAGCCAGTCTGCTTATATTTTTTCTAAGATCTGTAACATGCATGTATAACTTGGATGTATCCTATTATAGGACCATTCTAGAATGGTTTATCTCTAAATAATGTCATCTTAGATTTTTTTCTAAAAAAATCTATGATTTTATATTAAAATAGGTTGAAGTATAACCCTTTTAAAATAGAGGAATTAGGAGTACCAGTTTGAATAAAAAGTACTGTTTTGTTAGTACTTTACATCTTTAATAGCATGTCTGCCACTTTATGGCCATTCTGAGCTGTTGCCATTCCAAACTCTCTCAATTTGCATAAGTTTCAAAAATTTAATCTATTTATTTCTTTTTCCCTTGAGAGACGTCGGCTAATTTCCCAGAGATCTTCATTGGAGACTTTGGAAGACATTGAAGAAAATGCTCCTTTAAGGAGGTGAGTTTTTTTCTGATTTATACTGTATATATTCTGTCATTCTCATATTATGTAATAGGAATTCAGAGGCAGTTTGTATTCACTGAAGCTAACAGTGATCTGTGCAGTAACTTACTGTAGTGTGGGAACAAAATCCTTCAATGTGTGATGTTTCTCAAAATCCATTCTGGTCTACTAGGCATATTTTTGTATTCTTAGGCAAGATGATTAAATGGAAAAGCTCAAGGCAGGCATATCTGGGTTCTTAATTGTATGATAAAAGAAGTGAGTGGTACTACTAGTTAGTCATGAACTTTAAAGATGTAGTTCATATTCTTTTTCTTCAAAGGAACCTCAAATATGCTAAATAGCTAATAGTCAGAACAAGCAGTAATCTTGTTCTTACTATTAGCAAAACAATCACAAATATAAAAGAGATGTGCTAACTCAGAACCAGCACCAAAAAATGCAAAAGTTGTCACTGGGCACCAAAAGAGATAAAAAAAATGATAGTAGACAAATCTTGTTGGGAAAGTGTATGTTTTGGAGATGAGGTAAACCAAGAGAGGCCTGCCTTCCCTTCAGGGGTTAGGAAAAATTAAAGTTTTCGGAAAAGATTAAGAGAAAATTAAAGTAGCTTTTATTGCTCAGGAGTGGGTAGCCTTTTATGATTTAAAGCTGTCCTAGCATTTCCCACCTCTTGTTGGTGGGAACTGGCCCGTGTATTTTCAACCTCACAATCACAAGAGACTCCAGGACTTCTGGAAAAAAAAGGATTTTGTGCTCATACAGCTGTGGAATCACAAATTGACCACCCATGTTAAAGAAAGAAACGCTACTGTTTGAGGAAGCTGGTTTTAGGAAAATTGCTTGCTGCAATAAATTTTACCTAGTTTGCTAGGATATTTTTTGCCCTTTAGCCTTTCAAATGCATGGGTTAACCATATTTAGAAATTTATGGCCTGGAGGTATTTTGCCCTGTTATATATCTCAGTTCTCTTAGATTGGTAAACGAAGTTTTAGAATACTTTGCTGTCTCTTTTGGTTTTAACCATCATATTTCATCAGTAGACTTAACCAACTCATTGCTAGTTCCTAATTCTAGATAACATATTAGCAACAGTATAGTTCTAGTACAGTTGAAACCCTACCCTTTACTTCCCTTCCGTGTAAAAATAAATCATTTATTTTCTCCTGATTGGAGGGAAACGGCAATCAGGCTGGGGAGTTGCTCTGTCTATGCGTATGACCGAGTCTGTCCATCAATTTAGCTTCGCCCTCCTGTGCCTCTCCAGTTATTCGACTCGGTCTACACTGACAGGACGTGTCTTCTAGCTTTCTGAGTTTACCTCAGTGATTGCGCATTTCTTTTCTTTTTTTTTTTAATTTTTATTTATTTAAAACAGTACATCAAACAAAAAAGAAATAGTCAAACAAATGATCGCGACAGAAACTTTACATGATATTTACGCTTTCTACGGTATGTAGGCTTCAGTCAAATTTAACAAATATTAAACATAGTCCTGGTTATACTTGACTTTTTGGGTGTCTGTTGTTCAACCAAACATACCATTTGTCCCAACATTGGAAATATACAGAGTCCTTTTGATCTCGCAATGCTTTAGTCAGTCTGTTGGCTTCCGCATAATCCAAAATTTTCTCCAGAATCAAATCTTCAGCCGGCAGGTCTTTCCCCTTCCAATGATGGGCGAAACATATTCTTGCTGAGGTGGTGATAAATACACACAGACACCATATATTTGTGCCTATATTATCTGGCCTAGTGATTGCGCATTTCTGACTGCACCGAATACAGCTGGGATCGGCTTGTATCTACCAGCTGGTAGATACTCATTGCAGGCTCTTCATCGCCTGACAGTCTACAGCTCCCCGGACATTCAGGTGAGCCTTGGCTGCGTTTCTAAGGCTGTTGCCCAGCAGCCTGCCTCGGCTCAAGCGGCCGCTCGCCGAGAGCCATCAGTTGCTCTAATAGCCAGAGGGCTAGCGAATCCTGCATCCAGGCCTCTCACCATTGGCAATTCAGACTTGGTGGTGGCTTCTGGAGCCTCTTATGAGTTAAATTCTCCATTTTTTTGCCGCGATTGAGAGACGGGCCGATGGGCCTCTGCAACTGGCGCTCCAGCCTCGGACAGCCAGCTGATGTTCCAGACGCTTCCTGACCTTGCCTTATCATTGCAGGACCAGGATACGGCAACAATTCAAGCAGCTCCACCGCCAGCTCAGGCCCCACCTCCTTCTGCCATGGCAGATTCCTTGGAGGCCATTATATCTAGAGCAATCAGACAAAGCCTGGCTCAGTGCCTTCAACACGGCCCTGTACCTACAGCTCCATGCACCCTTCAACAGAACCATTCACGGGATCTGAAGGACTCTCTGTCCGAACAGGATCACATCGAATCCCAATCATCAGCGGACCAAGCTTCTGTCTCTGAGGTTGATGACTTCCAGGAACAAGCCTGGCCTGATGATGAGGGCTTAGGTCCAGACCAGCCCTCATTCATTGGCCTGTTCAGACCTCAGGTCTTCCGTTCCCTCCTGTTCAAAGCGATAGCCACTACTCGATTGGGAGACCCACCTTCTTCAGCTGGGACATCCTCTCTTAATGACCCCACATCTGCCATGTTCGCGGAACCCATCATTGATCCAGAGACCATACTGGCTCCTAAGCTGTTTACGGATGTTCTCCAGCGTCAATGGGCTCTTCCAGGGGCTGGTCCCAGGCCCAACGGATTAGACAAACGACTCTTCAATTCTGCAGCTCCTCTAGCGGACATTCTCCAATCTCCCTCGGTAGACTCTCCCATTGTAGCCCTCACCAATACTTCTCATCCCACGGGTCCAGCCGAGGACTCTCTCCTGCCAGAGGACAAGCGAGCTGAGAAGACGCTACTCAAGGGTCACCTCTCTACCACCTGGTCCATAAGGGCATCAACTTCGGCGTCCTTTTTCAACAGGGCGGCATTACTCTGGCTTAAACAGCTCCAGGCTCGCCTTCCTCTCTCTGACTCCAGGTCCCATCAGGACCTGAATAAAATCTCGGCTGCTCTCGAATATTCAGCCGATGCAACCCTCAACGCCACGAGATTTTCCGCTAGAGCTCTAGGTTCCACCATTACCTCTCGCCGCCTATTGTGGCTCTGCAATTGGCAAGTGGACATGTGCAGTAAATGGCAACTTGCTTCTGCTCCGTACTCAGCCGGCAATCTCTTCGGCTCCTCCTTGTTGAAACGAGGGACAGACGCAAGGTCCTTCCTCCTGCTTCCTAATGAGGGGAATCACGTTATTCAACTCCCTCTACGTGCCAGTCCTTTCGGGCCTCCGACTCAACCTCTTTCCAACCTCGATTTCAACTATCCTTTGCTTCCAGATCACAGCAGGACTCTCAGGTCAGACAGGGGTCTAGACTCCCACCTAGGTGTTCCTCTCGCGGGGAGCAGGGGCGTTTCTCCAGGAGACCTAGATAGACACTCCTCCTCCCCTCCCATTGGCGGGCGGCTGTCCCTCTTTTCTACCCAATGGGAATCCTCCACCAATGACTCCTGGGTCCTGCACACCATTTCCTCTGGGCTGTCCTTAGAATTTCATTCTCCCCCCCCCCGCGGTTTCTCTCCTGCCCAGTTTCCCATGACAGGTCCAAACGAGACCTTGTTTCCGCCACAATTGACCATCTACTCCAAATCGAGGCTATTCAGCTTGTTCTCCTTTCCCAACAAGGTCAGGGGTTCTATTCCCGCCTATTCATTGTCAAGAAGTCCTCAGGTGGTTGGAGGGCCATTTTAGATCTTAAATCATTGAACCGGTACATAATATATCGCCAGTTTAAGAACCAATCCCTTTCCTCAATTCTTGAATCCGTCAGACCTGGGGATTTTCTTTCCTCCATTGATTTAACGGAGCCTTACCTCCGTGTGCCCATATTACCCGCTCACCGCCAATTCCTTCGTTTCTGTTTTAGGGATCAACATTACCAATATAAGGCCCTCCCCTTTGGCCTTTCCTCAGAGTATTTACGAAAATTATGGCCTCTGTTATCGGCCACATTCATTCTCAACCTATCTGAATCCAATTTTATTTAGATGACATTTTAGTTCTCTCTCCTTCCCTTCTTGAAGCATATAGGGACCTCTCCTCTGTCCTAGCTTCTCTGCAGGCCCACGGATTTTCTATTAATTGGCCCAAAAGTCACCTCTCACCATCCACCCGCATTCTTCATTTGGGGCTCTTATTGACATTGAATTGTCCATGGTTTCCCTGTCTCCCGATCGTCAGGACAGCCTTCCTTCCTTCCTTAGCACTCAAATGTCTTACCACTGGTTCAGCGACTGTTTTAACCCTTTCCTGTCTATTGGGCAAAATGGTGTCTACCTTTGGCATCACACCGTGGTCTCGCTTACATAGCAGGGAACTTCAGTGGCTCCTGCTGCCATTCCAAAAGGCCAAACGGGACCCTTCGCTCGTCCGTCTGCAACTCCCAGTTCTGAGGTCATTACACTGGTGGACCTCGAGCACCATTTCTCGGGGCACCTGTTACAAGGAACCTCCAGCTCACCACAGATGCCAGCCTCACGGGTTGGGGCGCCCACCTCCTCCATCACATGGCTCAAGGTCAGTGGTTGGCACAGGAGTCTTTCCTCAACATCAACGTGTTAGAGTTGCGGACCATTCGCCCAGCACTTGTTCACTTCCAGGACCGAGTGGAGGAGAAGGACATCCTGGTCCTCATGAACAACACCACCACCAAGGCCCACATCAACAAGTTGGGGGGCACCCACTCGAGATCCCTGATGGATGAGGCCCATCTGCTGGGTCTCTGGGCCAAGATGCACCTGACCTCCATCAAGGCGGACCACATCTCCAGCTCTGCAAACGTCCAGGTGGACGCCCTCAGCTGGAACCTTGTGGACTAAGGGGAGTGAAGCATCCCTCCATCCCTCTTTCAGGAGATAGCTGCCAGATTTGAGACTCCCTTGCTGGACCTTTTTGCATCCCAGGCCAACCAC